TTAAAATGAAAAATTCCAAATTAGTCAGGTTTTCCCGTACACCGACGCAGACGTCAATTGCATGGGAGCATTATAGCCTCCGTTTTTTTTTTTTTTTTTTTTTGTTATTATTTATGCTTTCTTTTTCTTTCCAAAACCAAACAGCCTCTCTGAGATATCATTTTTCTTCCACCTTCCTTTGCAATCAAAACGAAATGGTTTTTACTTACCTAGGTCACTCGCATGGCATGAAATAAGTAAGTACTCACCATAAGACTTCAAACGTGGGTGAATGAGCGTACCCCACTTTGATATTAGCCGGAATTAAACAAAAATATACGAATTGGATGACAAGGGACAAAAAAGCGTAACATGTCTGTTAATATACTAAATAACGGAAAAAAAAGGGAAACTATAATATGATTTACAGCCCTCACTTGTTTACTAATGACCATGAAATAACCATCTGCGCTCAGGAGAAATATATATTTTAATAATGTGCCTTCATAATTCTCCATATATTCCTTTTCTTTATTATATGTTAACTGACATAATTGGGAAAGATTTTGGAGTGGTTTCTCGTTGTCTTCTCCAAAGTTTGAAATTCTCCTAGACTACCACCCAAGGCTAGAGAGCTAAGTCTCCTCTGCTACTTAATAATAGTTGAAGATGAAGAGAAATATTTGAGATGACACACATATGAGTAAAAAAAAAATGATAATTATATCCAACTGACACCCAAGTGTATGACGGGTTTCTCAAATCGAGCATTTGACCCATTAAGTTTTCATTTCAAATATACTGAATTCTATTTTATTAGAAAAAACAGATTGACATTATTAATTCCTGGAGGATATTTAAATTAAATATCAGGAGAGATTTGACAAATATTTTAAGCGTTTACCTTTCTTTAAACCCCAGATAATTTATCATATTTTTCTCATAACAATAAATTTTATCGGATATATATGACAGCAATTATTTATTTATTCAATCGAGCTATCTCGGACGTTCATGAGGCTATCACGCCAACCTACATCAAGGTAAGAAGGTCATTAAGGTAGAGTTCTGTGACATAGCATAGCTGACCAATGTAGGCAGTTGCTCGTCTTGCTCCATGGCTAGTTGTCCAGAACACTAGATCATTTAATCTATAGGAGGTAGATTGATCTCATTCTGCTGAGGGATATTTTATCTAGTTAGTATTTAATTCTGCTTAGTTACTGCTAGCCATTTTTTCCCCTGGTTCCAAGTACGCACTGCCAGACCCAGGGATTGAACTCACAATATGAAACAATTCTTCTTTAATCGAGTTAGCTCGGACATTTATGACTCTATCACGCCAACCACCACAGTCCTGCATCAAGGTCGGAAGGTCATTAGGCTGGCATTCTGTGTCGTAATATAGCTGATTAATGTAGGTGTGTGCTGAGGGACTAGTCCGTCTTGTGCTATGGGTGTCCAGAGAAGTAGATCACTCGCAGGTTCTTCTTTTGCTCGGCAGCAAATCGGATTCTGCATTCGCGTAAGATTGTAAAAATATCAGAGATGGATCCATAGAGCAGTGATTTAGTTGGATGTTGTCTCCAAGAGATGTTGTGCACAGCGCTCAGCATTCCCATGTAGGTTCCATCTAGCTTATACTGCAGGGTTTCAGTTAATATCCAGCTAGTGACACCATACATTATCACCACCTTAACAGTGGATCGAAAAAATCTCCCTTTAAGTTTGTCTGGTAGATCAGATTTCCATATTATTTTATTCAAGGCAGACCAGGCTTAATCTATGCGAATTTTCAGTAGAATTTATTTCACATCCTTCGTATGTAAAATATTCAATATTGTTGATTCACCTGAGACAGTTTGAATTGAGCCGTCCTGTTTTAGAGGTATTAACATAAAGTCCAGCATTGTTGGCAGCATTTTCTAGATGATGTAGGAGAACTGTGGCATTGGGAATAGTGAATGCAGTGATAGCGAGGTAATCTGCATAGTCAATATCTGTCAACGTTTTTGCAGGATATCGACTTGAGAGTCTTCGTGATAAACTAAAACTTTTTTTCTGCAATAAAAACAGGCAAAACGCTGAACGTTCCTTTTTTGTGAGAACTTAATAAAGTTAACAAACGTCATGCATATCCAGATACATGACGCTAACATGCGATATGCTATGACGTCAGTTTTATTTACAATAATTAGTTCTCTCACATCGTGACTTCTATTCATTGTAATTATATTATCAAATAGTTGATTTTTATTTTATTTTTGTTCCACTGAATTTTTTATTAATTCTTTTATTTCTTTTTTTTTTTCTTTCAGGTTGAAATTTCAGGAGACACCGCCATCAAGAGTACACAGATCACCCGGGAAGCACCCATGAATTATTCTGTGAAAATGAAATGTCATGCTATAAATCATAAAAGCAAAACATGGAAGTGGAAATATGATGAGTAAATTTGCTTTCCATGAAAAAAAAAAAACTTTATGAGAGGAAATATAATCTGAAACAAAATTAGTTTTATATCTCAACGGATTTAACGTCGGCTTTAAAAAAATAGGAATTAATAAAACAATGATATATAAAAAGATAAAATCGCATGTTTATCGACTGGGCGGAAGTAAGGTTATCCGAATAATTAACAATGACTTGAAAATGAAATTAAAAAAATCTATGTTGAAATACTAAAGAAAGAAAAATCACTCGTACGCTTATTAAATATGATTGAGGTTTATATTTGGGTGAAGTGATACTCATATGATTTTTAAAAAAGTTGTGAAATGTTATTGAGCGATTGAGACTACATTCTAATGCGAAATAACCAACTTTTATATTTGAATAACTGACAATATTAACATCGTGAAACAGAGTTCGAACAAAGGAAAAATGTGAAAAATACAATGTCTACGTCACTTCATAAAGTAAGCGAATTAAGAATATATCTATCAAAGATTAACAATTATAGATACGAGGAAGTTGGTTGGAAAATAAGAAAGTATACTTTAACTCCCCAAAATATATAATCTTTCACACACTCTCTCTTTCTTTTAATTTTTCTCTCTCTCTCCCTCACTCTCTCCTCTCTCTTCCTCTCCCTCTCTCTCCCTCTTTCTCTCTCTCTTTCTGTATATATATATATATATATATATTTATATATATATATATATATACTTTGAATAATAGGTTTGAATAATATATATATAATTTGTACAATAAATTTGAATTATATATATATATATATATATATATATATATTGAATAACATATGTATTATTACAAAATCCCTCGCCCTTTATCAATTGAAGTAAAGAAATATTACTGAGTAGTTAAAGAAAGTTCATATATATATATATATATATATATATATATATATATATATATATATTCTTATATATTATATATATCCATTTTCTATATATACTTGCATATATTCATATCCATATATGTATATGCATTTATGTATGTTTATATATGTATATAAACTAACTGGATTTTAAAATAAATGAGCCCTGATATAAGAATAATTAGAAAATCATTTTTCTATTTGATATGTAAACAGTTTGAGAAAAAAAAACCCACGCAAATTATCCTTGTACCGAAAATGTTTTCCTGATCAACTTCCCTAAAAAAAAAAAACGAACATGGAACCCTTAAATATGACAATGTTTCCATTGTTGAAGAATATCTCCGGTGTACAGAACCATGACAACTACAGTTGGTTACTGACCCCGTCTCTGAATGCGTTAGACAGTATGTCGGCAACAGCTGTGAATCCAGGGGCGAGTTCGGAGCCAGCTTCCAATGAAGAGGCGCTTCATATGACTCGATTCATCGTACAAAAAATCTGTGTACCCATCGTCGTCTTTTTGGGTGTGGTCAGTAATACCCTTAACATCGTCGTTCTGACCCACAGATCAATGAACACATCGACTAACGTTTACTTGACGGTACTGGCGCTATTCGACACACTGTACCTCATCTTTAGCATGACTCTGAGCCTCAAGCACTTCCCTTCCGTGAACGAAATGTCGAGCTACAAATACTGGACGCTCTATGCCCGCGTTTTAACCGACATGTGCAGTAATGTTGGCGTCTGGCAAACGATCACGTTTACTGTTGAACGATATATTGGGGTTTGTCATCCGATTAGAGGACATGTTATCTGCACGCCACAGAGAGCAAGAATTATTACGGTCATTGTGTCGACTATAGCCGTGGCGGTTACAATACCCGAATTTTTTGAAAGAATCGTCATAGAGGAGACGAATTCTAACAATCAGACGGTGGTTCGAATCGTCTATTCTGAAGTAGGGAGCTCCCCTTCCTATCAGACGGGCTACCATTGGTTTCTTACTATTTCGTTTACATTTATACCGCTCGGCTCACTTGTGTTTTTCAACGGGTTGCTTATCCGAGCGGTTGTCAAGGCTAATAAGATTCGCCGTTTAATGTCGAAAGCACCGCTTCGCAAAACAGCCGACAAATCAGGCAACGAGCAGCAAAAGATAACGTTAATGCTAATTAGCGTTGCCATTGTCTTCCTTCTGTGCCAGTTTCCGGGCGCGATCCTTCTTCTGTGTCATTCTTACATCCCCGAGAGCAGAGTCACTCCGACGCTGAAAAACGATTTCCGAATCGCCGGCAATTTCACGAACCTTCTCAACCAGATCAACTGCTCAGTCAATTTCTTTCTTTATTCCTTAATCAGCACCAAATTCAGGCGAACTTTCATGCAGGTATTCTGCTGCGGGCGCTGGACTGTCGTCCGTCAATCGAACCTTAGCCGCACGGAGACGTGCAACCTGTATCGCTCTAATCGTCGGTCGTCTAGCGGAGTCACGTGGTGTCCGACACGATCTAACGCCGTCTCACAGACCGGCCGGAACGCCGTGCGCGCATTCCCTTACAATGACGTGGAAAACGGAAGTCCGACGAGACTTCCCGTCTATGTTGATCTCGAAGAATACGCGCCGTTTCCTGTTTCAGATAAAAAATATCCAGACAGGAAAGATTGTAAATTATGAATGAACATGCTTGTTTTAACTATATATATATATATATATATATATATATATATATATATATATATATATATATATATGATTAAATAAGGAACAAGTTGTAAAAACTTTATAAATTTAATATGTTTCGCTATTTATTTAACCACATTATTCCACTTTTCAACCCACAAAAATTCTGATGATGTTAAATAAATATCGAAACCTGTTAAATTTATAAACGGCTTCGTTTTGTTCCTTAATTATTTTGTCGTATTTAATTCATATCTTCAACTAAAGAAATACTGATGTTTCACTTGAACGAACTACTTACACGAAGGAGAATGTTTCTGGTGATTTTCTCAGCGTAGCTTAGAGCTGTCACAAGGCCGAAAGTACGGTGGGCTCCCAGTAATGATGGAACTCACTATTCAGTCTTAGTTGATTTAGCGAGACAAGCTTGCTGACCATTACACCACGTCGAAGTGCCATTGAGAATGAATTTTTATGAGCGAGAAGAGTTGTGAAGCTATTCAAAAAGATAGCCATATCAAAAAAAAAAAAAAATAGAAACCAGTTTCTTTTATTTGAAATATACAAACTACAAACTTTAATCTAAGATTATCCCCAAAAAAATCACAGAAAATATTTTAACAAAAAAAAGAATAAACAGCTCAAGGGAGATAATCTTAAATTAAATCCCTTTCTCCATAAATACGAGAAACGATCCAAAATGAATATATATTACGGCAGTCTGTCTATATTTCTGAGATGAGGTATTGTAATTATTTACATTTTTTTACAGTGTTCGGACTGTTGTCCTCATCGTTATTGCCATATTCAAGACGTTTCGGTCGTTGTACTTGTCGGCCTTCTCCAGATGATTGGTATTTCGAACTGAACCATTTATTTTATCAACCCAGGTAGATTGTTCTTTTTCCATGTATCATGCCTCTTCCGAATGTCTCAGTTATCTCCCTTTAAATGAAATCGGATGGAAAAACCTTTGTCAGACACCGCCCAACTGAAGAATTCCATCCTAATATAGGAACCAGTAATACGAAGTGCTAGAGAAAAGCAATAATAACAAAAAATATGAGCTCCAAAAAAAATGTTTACTGAGAATTTAAGTTTATAAGTTCCAAAATTTCATACACTGACACCCTTAAAGACGTATAGCCCAGTCGATAAAAAGCGTTAGTTGGATCCAGTGACTAAACCTCGAAAGTTGTGATTACCTTGCTATTGCAGTGTTGAACAAAAAAAGTGGAGAGTTGAGTAAAAGGGAGATAACTGAGACATCTGGACTTGAATCTAGAGCAATCTATCCCGATGGAATAAATAAAGGGTTCAATTCGAAATGTCGTGAATATGGCAATAAAGATCAGGACAACAATTCGAACAATGTAAATGATATTAGGGCAGGTTGATTTTTACTCTTTTTGTAAAATCAATATTGCACTCGATGTGAAAGCTGGGGTTTGATCTGATAAATACTGACACTAAAGCATCAGATCTATAGCTTTTACCTATTATTGAGTATTTAATTTTAAAGATTGTCTAAAAAAAATGTATAGAAATACCTAATTTTCGCCGGTTTTTGCTTACAAACTGACTTAAAAATTTAACTATTTCAAGAATAAATCCAAATAATGTTGATATTTTTATATCAGATACGTTAAATGGAAAATATATTCAAACCAGAATTTTAATTATGAATCGTCACAAGCAAAATATGCATTTTTTTTACTGTATTCGTTAAGTAAAAACTGTGTAAAAAATTATATATTACAAAAAAAAATGCTACTCAATGAATAAGATTCGTCAGATCTTTTGTTAGATCAAGATTAATAAAAACAAAAAATAAATAAAAGCGTATCTAACACCATAGTACTGCTGGGTTAAATTATAAGACAAAATGTTTTAATTTTGCATTGATTATTGAAAATCACACTAAAACGACAACACTGTAGAACATATTACATCATAATATAGCTAAATTGTTCAGTATAATTTCCCTTTGAAGTAAATGAAGGTCTTATTTGACACAATGATTTAGTAATAATGTGCTTTTGCCATGCATCTTGTCCATATAAAATTTGTAAAGCTTCAGTAAACCATAGATTTTATGAGGCTATGATTAAAAGGCTTTCACAGATCACCAGAATTAAACTCCAACGCTACGATTTTGAACCTAAACTTAAACTTTAAACTCATTTCCTCAAAAAAAAAAACAGTGACGATTTGGAAAAATATATATTTTGTGTCATTACTTAATATATAAAAGTTCAACTTACAAATTGAGTGCAATACTATGCTTCTAAAATCGACCTGCCTTAATGTATATACGCCTATAGGGATTATTTCTGTCGTGCTGTCCAATGGAATTCATTATAAAGATCTCTTTGCAGGACTTCGTTCATGAATTTGTATGAACTTAATATTGTTTTCACCCAACAACCAAATAAACTTACAGTTTTCTTCCTTATCTTATATCTCTAAGGCATGCTATCATTGCAGTATGTAGATTGATTTATATATTTTGATTGTATGTATTTATTGAATAATAATTTGGTATTTGAAAAATTCATTTAATTTTCGACGCCGTTTCACTCAGGGTGTTATTTACATTTCTTTTGTTCGTTTTGAAAGAAACGAAAAAAAAAAACAACTGTCGTTGAATAAAACAGCCATTTTTGCATATTACATGGGATCTAACAGTTAAATGAAAAGTTTGCGCAAGAAATCTGAGAAAAAAATGTTTGCTGTATAAAAAGATGTAATGCTTACTCAAACTAGCCTCCATTAAGTAGCGCCTTTTCATTGTTTCAACCTGGTCTTTTGTTTGTTTAATGTTGTTTTGAAGCGTGTAAAATTATTTTTGGCACCAATGCTTTCAACATTCTTGTATTAATTGTGAATTTTCTTGTTAATAGAAAAGAAATATTCTAAAAGAATTACGCTCAATATATATATATATATATATATATATATATATATATATATATATATAAACGTGTACGCTTACAAGCCGTCCTATCGGGCAGCATTTAAGCTGATTCCTGAGGAGGGCCGTGATTGATAGGGAGGAGTAGATGCGACAGACAACAATAAACTATAGAAGAACTCCAAATTGATCGCTGCATTTAAGTATTGCATTAATTAATATTTAAGATTAACTTTTAAAAGTTCAACGAGAATTCTTCTGTCGCCAATTAATTTAAAGACAATTTGATGTACGTAGGTCCTTACTTTCCGTACAAACAATTATTTCTATTTCATGGGTGACTTTCGCTGGATTTTAATTTTGATTATTCCCATTTTTTTTTCTAAGTTATTAAAATTGTTATCGTACAAAAAGATTCGTCGCAAAAAATTCACGTAAAAAAAAATGGCCGACAACAATCGCAGTAATGAAAAATTGGGAATCCAAAATTTCAAGATTGCAAGTTCGGATCCGACCCGGAATAATTTTAATTCGCTCACGGACTCGGCCTGATTCCAAAATGGTATGATATGTTGGGCTATAGCCTCTAGGAGTAAAGTGGAAAACGTGTGACACACTGATACTGACATTCATTCACATGTCTTATATACACTGCGTGCCAAACTATTATTGAGATAACTTTTTTTCTAATATTTCAAAAACCGTCCAATCAATTCACATAAAAGTTTTACACAATGTTGGCAACACTGACCTGCGCAATCACTGAAATTCTCCTATTGATTTGCGCAATGTAAACAAACTGGCGCCATATTTGTTATCAGCACGGTGATTTGAGCGTGCCAAATTATTAGAAAGGTTTAGTAAAATTCCCAGAATTGAGCAAACAAAACGTTTATTAATGTTGCACATGAATGTTTACGATCAAAAGAAGCTAATAAATAAGATAATCAAACAAATAATAACAGATACAAACAAAGGCAAAGTTTTAAACAAATTAATAGAGAATGTGCTTTCGCTGTTTTGAAATTACTTGAAGAAGTCGACGATCCATAGAATTTGTTAATTGTACGATGTCATCTGCTGTAATGCCGCGAGATATGTCAAGAATTGCTTTCCACAACTCAGCGTTGCTTCTGAATTGTCGCCCGTTGGCGTACAGGCTTCGCTTCATGATGCTCCAAAGGTTTTTGATTGGGGTCAAATCCGGAGAATTGGCTGGCCACTTCATATTTCGAGGTCCATCGAAGCCTAACTATTTCAAATATTCAGTAGTCATGTGAGCAGCATGTGAGGGAGCATTATCTTGCATAAAAACGATGGCCCTTCTCAAGGCAACTCTTCGGCTTTTCATTCACGGTTCAAGATGCTCCTTCATAAACGCTATGTATGCATCAGCAGTCATTTTGACACCATCTGGAAGTCTCCATGGGCCCACTAATGTTTTTCGAATAATACCACAGGAGATCATTATGCCTCCACTGCCTTGTTGGTGTCTCAAACACTGATGGCGATTCTGTCCATTCATTACCCAGCCTTTGCACCATCTATCTGGCCCATCAAGTGTTGCTCGAGTTTCGTCGGTGAACAAAACATTAGAGAAGTCAATTTTCATATTGTCCTCGGTCCATTTCAAGCGATTTTGAAAGTGATTTCTCGTCAACGGAGGCTTCGATACAAGTTTGACTGTTGTTGCTATTTCCCTCAGATACCGACACCGAGTATTTTTAGACACAGTAGGATCCCCATGCGACTGAAAAGCTCTTGGTTGGTAAGCCCAGGGTTATTCGTGGCCTCTCGTTTAAGTCATGACATGAGACGACGTGAAATAACCCTCGGCTTACCTTTATCTGCCCTTTTGCGTACTTGTGAAGGGTCGGCGGTGAACTTTTTTACTGTTTGATGACACCTCCCTATCATTTTAGAAATTTCTAGGGTAGATTTACCTTTTGAGAGTTCTGAGTTGATAGTTTTCTTTCCAGCATCACTTAAACTGCTTTTATGGCCCATCTTTTCACTAAATTCTTACACTTTTCTAATAATTTGGCACACTCAAATCACAGTACTGATAACAAATATGGTG